ATAGTTTCTAAAACTTCTGCAATGAAAACAGCCTGTTATTACACATAGACTTTGTTCTTCCCTTGCAGCTCTAAATTACCAGGGTCTTATGAGCAGTATCTGTTCACAAACTGTCCAAGGACATCAGGAAAAACTGTCACCTTGATAAAGAGGGCTGAAAAGTGATGGACTTCAGTGTTGCTTGCAGCGGCAGAGGCAATCCCCAGAACCAGGTGAAATTGTGGAGAAAAACTAAAGCACTTTGCAATTACATATTCTCCTGTGAGAGAATATCAGAGACAGCAAAGCTGTGAAATGAACAAGCGTGAGAAAAACAACACTGCAAGGAAAATGAGTGAACCTGGTCTTACAAGGAAGCACAAATTCAGAGCTAGTGTTAGTGCTCTTAACCCACTCTCCCTGTCTAGGTTGTTCCTTCTCTGGCTATTAAGAGAGGCAGGAATTGAAGAAATATGAAGGTAAAAAATAAACATCTAAATATTACAAAAATAGAAAGTTATACAACTAAAAACTACAACTCCTTCAACTAATGTTTGCTGGAAAATGAGAGAGTATTCTTGACAGTAATTGTATTGCCCTATTGCTCCAATTTATTCCTTTACCCTAGGCCATGCTGTTGGCCACTTGTCAGAGATAGGATGCTTGGCAGAGGAGCCTTCAGTCTGACTCAGGACTCCTAATTAGTCAGGGGCTAACAGAAAGAAGATGCTATACAAAAGTCAAGAGTAGATATACACACATAACAGCATAATTAATTTTTCTAAGGTTTCAATCGTTAAAGCATTCAGATAGAACAAAAGCTCCCAGAGAATGGAGGACCAGTACTAGCTCATCTACTCTCAGCATGATTTATCACAGAGCAGGGGATCCAGGTTTAGAAATGAGGCTGTGACTCAGTCCACCAGCCATAGCAATGATAAGCTTAAGCAATGCATGTATAACATCCCAAAGTTAGCAATGTACAAGTATGTCCTGCAGCTGTGTGACAAAACTCTCAAGATTTTGCAGATCCAAAGAAATTTGGCTTCCTGGACTAGATGTACAATTATTTTGTCTGACAAGAAGTAATTATCTGCTTAGAAACAGAAGACATGGAAAAAAGAGATTTAAAATTCTCTTCTACCTCACCCATTATTCTTTGCTATACAGTAAAAAACTATAAAGGGAAAAAATCTGTTCCTCTGCTGATTCTCCAGTCCTCTCCTCAGTGACAGGAGAAACTGTAATAGCAGAAGGCCTTTTCAGCTGTGACCCTTGGAACACTGTTTCCATAGGGCTCTTCTCCTGAACTCAACAGGTCACCACTGCTCTCTATCTCAGCTACCACTAGCTTCTGCTCCCCATCCCACTGTGGACTTGCAGGTGCTGATGCACCAGCTCCCCCTCACAAAATCACCTCAGCATTGCTGCTTGCTCTGTCAGCAGATGCTGAAAGTAATACAGGTCTGCATTCTAACTCAGTACTGGATGTCTGGATTTAGACTGACATACTTTGAGTCTCATCACCATTGTAAGACAAAGACCAACTACAAAATTTCTTGAAAGGCTGGAAATACCAATGACAGGAATCATACAACCATTTATTTCAACACAAGTGGGCTCTTTGTCCCCATTTCTGCAAAGTGCCATGAATGTATTCAGTGCTTTCCTCTGTCGTTGACTTTAAAGGTCATTTGTCAGCACTTGGCAGGGGATGGCCCTCACTACAAATGTTGGCCTTGAAAACATGACAAAGAGCAAAAGTAAGAACCTATTCAATTATAGTGAAGGTTGTTAATACAGAAAGAGGAACTACAGGGATATAGAATAATAATCTGCATAAGTAAACATGTTTATAATCGAAATTATAACCACATTTAATAAGTAGTTCATTTATTAATGACAATTTGGGAAAAAAGGGATTACTATCACTGTAGTGGAAATAGCATACTGTGATTCTGGACTAAGAAGAAAAAATTATTGTAAGTTTCATGTCTCAAGAAATCATAATTTCAGTTCATGATAAAACAGATAAAAATGGTGAAAACAAATCATGTTATCAATACGAAATCGTAAAAAATATTCTTAACAAAGATTTGTTAAATATATAATTTTTATTTTGTTCATCATAAAGTCAAAATGCATCAGGTTGATAAGGTAAAAAACACATAAGGAAAGAACTGTGTTATATAAAAAATTTAAAACCTGAAATACAGAGAACTCTATTTTTAAAATTGAGTTTGGTTTGGAAGTCCCAAAGTTGTGACCTCATAGATCTATTTCTTGCTGTATTTTACATTGGAATCGCTTGCACTAAGCAACTAGAGAGTAGCTTTTCTTTATATAGTAACAGTTTATGAAAGAAATAACTGCTTGAATAGCAAGTTAATTCATGAAAAGGGCAAAACACTAAATTAATCATAGACCTTGCTATTACATCCATACCAGATACCCCTGTACATTCCTGACACTCACATTCTTCAGCTTTACTTCTTAAAAGTAAAACAGTGTTAGCAATTAGGAATGGGAGCACCTTGTATATAGATAAACATATAGATAAACACAGATATAAAGATACAGACATACATACAGACATATTGATATATAAATGCACTTCTGAAATGCTTTTGTGGGCTTCAGCTCAGGAGAGAATGAAGATTGTCACACCTTTTTTAGAAAAAGTAGAGGAGCAACAACATTTTAATTCTTTTCTGTCAATAAAAACACCCTTTTCTCACCCTTTTTGCCTGTATTAAAACAAAAACATTCCAAACTATAGGATATATTTGAAACAATTATTGCATATACAGATTTTTCAATGCTGTCCATATAGCCTTCCTGAACACCTAAAGCCTTGATGCATGAGGTGGCTCAGCTCCATGACTGAACCTCATTGCATATGAGGAAGGGGAGGAGAACCAAACTTTGACAGGTCTTGTCTCTAACTTACTGGGCTTTAGGTAATGCATGACTCTACAATAAATCCAGCTCATCAATGTCCTATTTTCATTTGCTATGTGCCCTGCTTACAGATGATATGTTTTCTTAACTCACTCAAAAGTGTTGACTTTTGCTGCCCGTTTCTACTAAGACATGAATGGTCCTTGCTCAGTATTCCAATTAACTGTTCTTTGAAAACAGCAAGATGTAGCTGTAATCAGATCAGAAGACCAAACATTTAGAGAGCAAAATGTCAGGCACAGAGAAATAAACCAGTAAATTCTGCATGGAAATAACTGGCCCTGTATCTTAGCAAGATACCAAGTTCTGCAACTATTTGGAGTTGTGGAATACAGACTTTGCAGTAAGTAGCTAATTTCAAATATATCTCTGCTGGTTTTTAAATTGTCTGTAGGTTTTGCATTGATTTGCATTTACTTCTGTTTTGAAATACTTCCTGCAAAAGAAGACAGCTCTTGGAGCTCAGTTCTCTGATAAAGAAAAGCTTCTGTAGACTCTGAGCCTCAGTATTCACAAACCATCTCAGCAAGCAAAACCAAGAATTTTTCTTTCTGTTCTGCTAGCTAAAACCACTGTTAGCTAAATTCTAATTCTGTAAAATTAATAAACCAAATTCATCAGAACATAACAGTTACTGCTGCCCTCTACCAGCAGTCCTTCATGGCTGAAATGAGGAACTACTTGACATTCCTTAGAAAGTGTTACAGCTTGCTAAGCCTGTGTCATTGGAGGTGAGCTGAGCTTACTAAAATCTTACTAGACCACAAGTCACTCAATGTCTCCAACCTGATAATTTTTGTATTCCAGGTAAGCATATTAATTTTTATGTATGTGTTTATATTAATTGCATTGTTTAAAACAGGAATTCCCAATTTTCTACAGTTTAAAACAAAATACTGTACAGATTATTCTCAATATCCTAAATCTACATAAGGAAAAATAAATTATAATTATTTCAGTCATTAACTACCTTCTTTGCCTAATAGCCACTGAGAAAACTTTTTATGCTATTTTTTACTTATATTATACTATGTTTAAAAAAAAATTACATTAACTTAATTTACACATCAAGTTTTCATAACTGATATCCAGTTAATCAGATCACATTTCTATCTACAGGATATATCACAAATAATTCCCAAACAAAAGGGAAGATTAAACATCTTGCCATCAAGAGTAATGGAATTTTTTCCTGCATTCTTTAGGATTAGCAGTTCTTAAACTCAGATTATAATTAACAATTTACAAAAAGCAAGCATTTAGTTAATACTAATATTTCACATTAATTCCTTATCTGTATGAAGAACAATCAGTCACCAAACACTCATGGTGACAAAATCCTTTTATTTTTTTTATGAAAGTCTACAAGAGTGGACTAAAAAAATGGCAAACCCACAAGCTTTACCAATCATATCAAATTTATCAAATATCTACTGGCATATTTACCTGTCTGTTTAAAGCACCTTGCATAAGAAAGCTTGGAATAATATACCAGTAATACTGATACAAAACTAATTAATAATAAATATTTAAAATTTATGAGGCATTTCTGAGTGAAAACAATCATGCTAAATAAGCTGTTTCAGGGAGTTCTAAGAAAAGCTTTAGCTGAAAACCCACATTTACAATCTATCCTAAAAACAAGCAGAACACTGCACCAACCCAAGCATTAGCTCAATTAAAAAAGGGGGAAAAAATGAAATCCCTTCTCAGCTTAATAACTTGTTAGTTCTTGACAAGTGCAACAACACAACAATAAGCCAGTCAAAATGAGTTTTTAAAGCGAGGTTATGCCCTTCATGTTGTGTTATCACAGTGCCAGATCAAACTGCTGACTTGGACTCTTTCTGCCAGCAGTGCTGATGCTGCCTCTATGAGCTACTGTCACAGAATAGTCATGGTACCTGCTCTTGCCTATAGAAAAGCACTAAATTGAACTCGAAGTAGTGTCTTTGTGATATCTTTTCAACAAGTCATGTCCCATTCAGCCTGCTAGTTTATCTCTGTCAGGCTGGGGGCCCAAGTGGTTTGCATGAGCTGTCAGGGACAGGTCTACCAACCTGCTCAGTGCTAAGGAGGTAATGCATCTTTCGGGCTTGGTATTTCTTTTCCTTTTCTTTCTTTTCTAGGTCTTTCATTTTCTTTTCGTTTTCCTTCATTTCTGCATACTCTTGAAGTTCACTCCTGTAATAAAATAAGTCTGCTGACTATATTATAACAACAAAAGACTCTTTTGTCTTTGCTACTCTCCTATTTTACTTTAACCCTTTCATAGCTTTACAGCATTTTGTTCTTATATATTAGCAGTATACTGACACCACAGTAATGTAAAATTACTGTTCTTTCAGTTCCACAGCAGTAGGATATTACATGGATATAACCATGAAGAAACAGGATTAAAGTGATCAAAAGTAGGAGCAGAATATAGGTCCACATTGCTTACAGCTTGATAAAATAGTATTCATGTAAGTCATTTTATCTACCTTTAAGTGTCATTTCACTTTGAATTTCTCTAAGTGGAAGCTATTACAGTATAAATAAAGGTTGTTCATTTATGTTTGAGCTAGTGCCTTGCAACACCTCCTGATCCGCAGACAGGGGAGATTTTATGGAATAAGACAGGAAAGCAGACATGGGATAAGAGATGATATTCACTCCTTGATCCTTGAGCCCTTTGTGAGGTTGAGAAAGTAGGCACAGAGGAAAACTGGATGGGAACCTTCCATGTATGCATTGTCCTTAGGAGGAGATTCCATGGCATTGGGCTTCTTGCACAGGTCATTTCTGCTCTGCTTTGATGAGAGCTGAAGAGGCCACCATGAAAAACCCAGAACTGAACTGCTTCATGAAACACACAGAGTCATCTAAATATGTGATTCTGTGCAGAACTCTTTCATCATAAAAGAAATATAGAACTATACCTAACACCAGGTTTCAAAGAATGGAGAAAATTCATGATTTCAACCGAATGTTTAGAGAAAAACTTGAGCAGAAAATGGGCATAAATTTCCTCCTCAATGGTTTGTTGGGATTTTTTTTGCTTTTTTCACAGAGCCAGGCTTGCCATTATGCAAACAGTAGAGTGAATTAATGTTACATAAGAAACAAAATTTTGTGCTATTGTGCACAGTGCACGTGTATGGAATTTTTTGACCCAGTTAAAAAAGGTTAGTTTGATTAACATTTGTTATTTTTGTTATTACAAAATGGCTAGTTCAAATTAACCTGTGTGCCAAATACACCAAGCATATTCAGTCAAGCATTTAGATTGCTAAAAAGTTAATTAGGTGAGTGTATTCTAATCTTTATGTTTTTTGGTATGTGCATATACGATAAAATAAAAAGGAAAAAAGTATTTTTCATATAACTGGACAATTCAAATATTGCTGCAAAACAGATTATTTAGAGAGATCCACATTAATTGTCCCAGTTGTTTCAATGAGTACCAAGACACTGCAAGGACATAGGTTAGACTGTTTCAAAATATGCACATGGGTAAGTTTGCTGATATGAATAATCCCATGGAAAAGTCATATTGCTCCCAAAAGCGTTTTTTTAAGATTGTGACTCAGACTTACTCTTAATATTTTAATTATCATTAAATTAGTTCATCAAAATATGTGAAAGAGCAATAATTGTTTTATAAATATGAACACTATGAAATCACATTCTTAAATACAAGTTGCAGTGTAGAACTCATTTGTTTCATGCTATCTTTCAGGATTTTATCAATTAAAATACATAAAGTATTAAGTAATTAAATGTATGATTTTAATTGTAAAAGAAAAATAGAATAAAAATAAATACAGAGCAGAAAAGATGCACAGGCATTTTTGAATCTGAAAATATGTTTTGTTGCAGTTTACTGTTAAAGGCTGCTAATACAATATTTCATACAAGGTTACTTACGAAGCACACTGACGTTTAAAAATCACCATGCTATGCTTTTGCAGCAGTGTAATTTTTTTCCAACATAAGATTAAATTGCAAAATAAATGAATTACTTAGAGTGGCATGGCCCCCATTTTGCCACCCTTCTCTTGAAAATTGCTTATTAATATGAAAAAAGAAGTTGGAAAATAGCCTGTTTTACTTTATGCATAGCATTCTGGGGCCTCAAAGCCTGCAGAGCCGGAGTAGCTGCACATTTTAGATTGTGTTGGCAAGCGGGGACGATGACCTTTCTGACCTGCATCTCAAGGCTATTATTAATCGCTAAGTAACCTGGTAAAGCCAAACAAATTTGTTTCCATTGAAAGGATCTCTATCTGTGTCTGAGAATTTGTGCTGTACCAAACAAACCTCATTAACTGTGTCCATTTTTGACAAAGAACTAGGAGTTGGAGAGATTGGCGACCTTTCTTTGTCCTCAAGGTACAGATTTCAGAGTCACTACATGTAGGTACATAAGCATTTTTTACTAGGAAACTCTTTGTTCTATACCCATCAATCACAAACAAATGAATAAATAGACAATACATACGGTATCAACTTTGTTCTTTTATTTTATGCCTCTTTACCTCCAATATCAGAGTGTATGATCTGTGGTTTACATACTTAATACTATTCCTTTTTGATTACAGAGCCCTCTATTCAGCTTTAGTACCCCTATCTATGACTTAATGAAATAATAACATATTACTAAAGTCAATTCATGTTCTTATATACTGAGGTGCTTCTTTCTAACAGTGAATATGGAAGGTTTTTGATTTAGAATACAACTGGTGGTAAAAAAGCCACAAACAATGTCAAAAATATAGATCTGTATTCCAAAAAAAAATGATAACAGGATGCAAAATGTTTCCTGTTGTCATCAATGGGAATTTATCAGATTGCTTTGAATGAATGATTAATAATCATTACTTCTGAAATTAAATGAAGTCTAAAATACTTGTTGAAGTTCAATGTAATTCATGATGTTTTTAGACAGTGTTATTTTCATGTTCATTCCTGATTATCACATACCTTCAGTAATACTTGTACCATAATCCATATAAAAGTTTGAGATTTTTTAAGCAGTTACAAATAATTTTCAGCATAGTTTTGCAGCCGACACATTTTGTTCTAAAATATCTCTATCACTCTACTGCCCTGTACAGTTGTACAGATCATGCAGACGATTTTGTCACAGGGATAATAGCTCCCAGAATGGTTCTCTCCTGAGAGGCAGTACAAAATAAGTAGTATGTAGCAGTCCAAACATTGCTTGACTGGAAACACAGATATTTTAGCCTAAATATAGATTTATTTTAAAGCTATTTGAACCTGAAGCTTTCATCTCTTTTACCATACTTTCAAGCATTTGAAAAGGAGCAACAAAAGCAGAGAATCTAAAGCAGTTAGATATGAATATACTATTTCACACATTAGCAGATTAATACTAACATGCCATGCACTGTGCATGGGTTTCACTGTTACCATACAGAATAATGTGTAGAAGGATAAGTGATATTAACAACATAAACATAACCTTCCAAATGCAGCCAGAGTTCCACATAACTTACAAGGAAATGTGTTCACTGGGAAGTTTCATGCTTGGGATCTTCTACATATATGCCTTCTCAAAGAATATAAATCCAAATTCTATTAAAGCCAGCAGGAAATCAGTTGAAATTAAATGATTTTTGGATTAAATCAGTACATTTCCTCACAGGCTGTTCACAAATTTGATAGGTTCATTGAGCAATCTTTTCTTGGGATATATAGGTATCATCTCTGTGACATTATGGATACTAGCTGTAATGCATGAGACTCTGTGGATTCTGGACCAATTTTGCTTCAGGATGAACTTTCCTGGTTCACTGTGAAGTGGAAAATAATTTGGCCCACTTTTTTAAAGCTTCAATAAATTTTGCAAGAGAAAAAAAATTCTGTAAATGCAAAATATGTTTTAGTTTATTTGATAATCTTGTTCTATTTTTGTAAGTGATCTATCTGTTGTATGGTTCATAGATGGGAAAATATTGCTTATTAAAATGCTATAACTCAAAATTTTGTTAATTATTTTAGCACATAATATTTTCCTTATCTTAAAGCCTATCTCAATATATTAACAGCATCTATTGCATCTTGCTACAAACCTGGCTTTCCATATAAGTTTAGTCCAATCAGACTTCCTCCCACACACATTTTTATTGAATAGCTTTGTAGGAGAATTATTTGGATATTTTAACAAATGATCATGATCTGAAAATTATTAATCAAATCAGAATAATATAAATGTTTACTATGGCAAGTTTAGGATGCTTTTTTTTTACTAAAAACATGAATATACTGGCTAACACGAAGTGTGATGTCCTTGTCATAGGGAATGTTTCATGCATTGGAAAACAGTCATAGGATTATCAGCATATGTGCTCAAAACTCACAATTAAAAATGATCTTGTGTAACAAATCTGTTAAGTAGCTACGGAATTGTTAATGATAAAATTACTTGCTCTATATAGTTTGAAAATAAAAAAAATTCATCTGACAAGGTAACTCATTGTTATTCTGATTCTTCATTATGCAGTAGGCAATGGTGTTGGTTCCTGCTATGAGATGCAAATTCAGTTGACAGTGCTCCTGCTGTCTGTATAAAGGTTAAAAATACACATATAATATTGTTCCTGGCACTTTTGGAAAGGTCTTCAAGTGATGATTTCAGTAATATACAGATTTTAATAATTCTGCATAGAACTTCATCATTTTACAAATTCACACTGACCTATGTTTATGAAGTTTATCAAACTATTGCATTCTGTTCGCATTTCCACTGGCATTCTGTGGTCCTTTGGCCAAATGATATTACAAAATTATTATATTAACTGAAGGAAAGGGCATCCAATAAAAACCAATAATTAGTATAGTTGCCCAGAGTATCCAGAAAAAGTAGTAAGTTATTGTGATTTTAAACAGTTCAGATACCAAATCATAAAATTCCTGCAACAGAAGCAGTAGGCAACCTTAGCATACGAGGAGATAACCTAAATCTATTTAATCTTCCTGACTATATATCATTCCCCCTGCTCAAATACAGAATATGGAAGGTAAAATAAAATTAGTGAGACAATAATTTTTGGTATACCACTGTATGCCACTTGATTTTACATCACATTGGTGTAGGTGAGAATGGAATATAACCTGCCATGATAATATTGTTTGACTTAATCGATTAAATTTGGGAAAACAATGAAATATATCTA